CTCCCTTTTGCTGCCCTGACCCTAAATCTCTTGACCTCATTTCTCTTCTTTAAAATGCCTTATTTCTCTTTCCTTTACAGTAAAACTCCTTGAAAGACTTGTCTTTCTAGGAGACTAGGCTTGTTTGCAATAGCCATCTTCCCACTCTCACTTGAACCCACTCCAATCAGGCCTCCCCTATCTCCGTGAACCTGATCTTGTCAGTCACAAGAACCTCCACGATCTCCACATTGCTAACCAAATGGTCAATGCTCAGTCTTCATCTTATTCAGCTCATCAGCAGTCCGTCACTTCCTCTTCCTTAATGCATATTCTTCACCTAGCTTCCAAAACCTACACTTCTCCTGGTTTTCCTCCGCCTTACTGGTAATGCCTTACTGGTCTGGTTGCTGGCTCCTCCTCTTCTGCCCCACCTTATGCATAGAAATACCCTAGGTCTGCCCTTTTTCTACCTGCGCTCACTCTCCACTACTTGTGAGCATCTTGTGGTCAGCTCTCCAGCTACCCAACCTCCGGCAGTTTGCACTCAATACCTGTTTGTTGAAGTGCGCTGAGTCTGGAAAGTAGGTTTCGTCAGTGAGCTTCTACAGAAAGGAAGGCTTTGAACTTTTTTTTTTTTTTTTTTTTTTTTGAGAAAAGAAGGGGGAGGCAAGAAGGGGGGCTGGAATAAAACACTGCACTCCCTTCACTATTTGCCCTCTTATCTATTATCTGTAGAGAGGAGGCAACATTGCGGAACACAATGATTCTCAGACTTAGAGCACATCCAAATTATTAAAATCACTTGTTAAAATGCGGGCTCCTGGATTCTGTCTCAATCATTCTGATCTAAGTAGTCTGGGAGGTTGGGGGAATATTGGGAGGAAGTTGGAAATCTACATTTAATAAGCACCCCAGGTAATTAATTCTCAGGCAAGTGGTGAGAAACAGGTAGCTGAGAACAGTGCTGCTGAAAGCGAGAGCTGCGGAGAAGTGCTAGGCTGAGAAGGCTTTTCAAGACGCAAGATGAGTTAAGTACAGAAACGGAGTGTAAGTGACTTTTACAGTAATTTTAAAGAGTAATTTTATGCCTGTTATCAATACTTTTTTTTAAAATGCTTGTATTTCAAATATCCTTTTTCTCATTTCATGATTCTGGAATCCATTATTTATTTATTTATTTATTTATTTATTTATTTATTTATTTATTTATTTTGAGACAGAGTCTTGCTCTGTCACCCAGGCTGGGGTACAGTGGTGCGATCTCGGCTCACTGCAAGCTCTACCTCCGGGGTTCACGCCATTCTTCTGCCTCAGCCTCCAGAGTAGCTGGGACTACAGGCGCCCACCACCACGCCTGGCTAATTTTGTTCTTGTGTTTTTAGTAGAGACGGGGTTTCACCGTGTTAGCCAGGATGGTCTCAATCTCCTGACCTCGTGATCCACCTGCCTCGGCCTCCCAAAGTGCTGGGATTACAGGCGTGAGCCACCACGCCCAGCTCCATTTTTATCATATTTCGCAAAACTACTGATGTGAGAGGAATTGGGAAAAAAATTTGGTTCTTCACCACCAATAGTTTGAGAAGCCTTGGCTCTGGAGAAACAGTTCACTCAAGCTCTAGTCTCAAAAACCTTGATTGAAATCCTCGCTCTTGTACTGTGAGTTATCTTAGGCCAGTTAGTCAATTTCTGTGAACCTTGTGTCTTCATCTGAAGGATAACAATACTTAAAAGGTTGCCTCGGCAGGGCTGTGCTGACAATTTAATGATAGCTTTTTATCACTTTATTTTAGCTAATAATGAATGAGCTTTTACTATGTGCTTAGTAATTTACAGGCAGTAAAGGTCCTGTAATTTGGTGACGCTCATTTAACTCCTGCAGCAAGAACAGTGCCCAAGGCAAGGACTGCTATCACCATGCGCTTCACAGAGTCCCCAGAGGAGCCTGCCCAGGCTGTCTGGCTCCAACACCCCAGCTCCTACCCACTGAGCTCCATCAAGTGGGAACCAACATGGCTCAAAACATTAACCATTTGTCAAAACATTTCTGACAAGTCACTGTTTTGCTCAAAAGCACAGCAAAGGTCAGAAGCATGATATGCAACAAGAAACCGACTTGTAGCTGGCGAATCTGAGAAGAGAGTGAGAGAAAGGAAGCCATGAGGGGCGCGCAGTGCCTGAGAGGCTGTGACTGTTTGCAAGTATTTACCTGAGGACAGGCCCACCTCCAAGGCTCATGGTGGGGATGGGGAGATCCTGTCCAGAGCAAAGACCTGAAGATAAAGGGCTTTCACTCCTGCCAAGGGTCAGAGATTCCATCGTTTCCCAGCCAGGCAGCACTGATAATGAAGTCCTCAGAACATTTCCCTTCGTACATTTCCCCAGAGGTTTTCTAAGAGCCTGGAGATCAGAACTTTGTTGGGGGGGTGTTGTGTCCCCACCATGAGGTCAGGCTGCGGTCCCTGACCAGAGCCAACCACTCAGAACTGATTAGGAGAGCTCCGAACTCCAGACTGACGCAGCCATGGCAAAGGGAAATCATGAGCCATTTGCTACTGTCTTCAACCTTGCACCCCATGCACAGACAGACAGACAGACAGACAGACATGTATTCGTAGAAATATTTGCCTTCCTATTTGACAGGTACCTGGCAAAAAGTAGGCCTTTCGTGCCCCATGAATTCCCTTTCTGTATAATGCCCACTCCCCACGACACGCCCCAGCCCCAGTAGGCATCTCCCACACGCTTACCATGCAATCTGCACTCCGCTTGGTAAATCAGCGTTAAACAGAGGAGAGCGCAGGAAGGGCCTATACAGAGGGTTGAAAAAACACTTCACCCCTCCCCAGCAACACAGCCACCCACTCTTTCCTCCACACCCCTACACTACACCACACCCCCGTGCTACAGAGAGGCAGAGAAAAAAAAGTGGGCCCGTCACCTCCTCAGAAAGAGGAACTGTCTCACCTCCTAATCTTTACTACACTGCTTTGTTTTTTCCTGGAGTAATTTAAAGCAAATGCCAGACTTTGTATCAGTTTCCTGCTACCAGCTCTTCCCAACTGCAGATCCAACAAAAAATTAGGCCTTAATGTCCCAAGACCTCCATTGTATGCAATGCATTAACTAACTCCCATGGCATCCAGAATTACCTACGTACCACCCCTGGGAGAATTGAGAATGTAGACCCTGAGATTCTCTTCACTATGAAACACACACGGACACACACACACAGATACATAAACACATACACGCACCAGGTTCTGCCAGAGAATATATGAATATAAATCATAATTCAATATGACCACAATGCCATTATCACCTAATATCCAATCCACTTTTAAATTTTTACCAGTTCTCTCAATACTGTCTTTTACATTAACCTGCTCAAAAGAGGATCCAAACAAGGATGGGGCATTTTGTTTGGATGATGTGCCATTTTCAATTCTCTCTTATCTTAGAAAAGTTCTCACTCCCTTACTTCTTCTTTTCCATGGCAAATACTTATTGAGAAAATGAAGTCGTTTCTCCTGTGGAGTGGCTCATGTTCTGAGCCGGGCTCACGGCTTCCTCAGGGCGTTGTTTAATGTTCTCCTCTCTGCTCTGTGTTTCCTTAAACTGAGTGTTAGATTCCAAGGCTTGTTGAGATTTGGTGGTTTCAAATTCAATGGTTCTCCCAGGTTTTTTTTTTAATATATATACACATATACTCTCTCTATATATATATACACACACACATATGTATGTATAGATATGTGTGTATATAGAGAGTATATGTGTGTGTATATATGTAAAACATATATGTATATGTGTGTATATATATAGAGTGCGTGTATGTATATACATATAAAACATATAGGCTGGATGTGGTGGCTCATGCCTATAATCCCAGCACTTTGGGAGGCTGAGGCAGGCAGATCATGAGGTCAGGAGATCGAGACCATCCTAGTTGACACAGTGAAACTCCATCTCTACTAAAAATACAAAAAATTAGCTGGGTATGGCGGCGTGCGCCCATAGTCCCAGCTACTCAGGAGGCTGAGGCAGGAGAATCACTTGAACCCAGGAGGCAGAGGTTGCAGTGAGCTGAGATCACGCCACTGTACTCCAGCCCAAGCGACAGAGCAAGACTCTGTCTCAAAAAAACAAACAAGCAAAACATGTGTATATATCTATATCTATAGATATATCCACAAGGATCTAAGTCCTGGTAGTCTAAGGGAGTTGGAGGTGGGGAAATGAACAGGGAAGATTGAGTTCCTCTACTTCGCGGGGGCCCCAGGGCCTGTGAGAAAACTTACACCAATACTCATACGATAGGTTCATTCATTCAGCAAATGCTGATCGCCTACTGCGAACCAGACTGTAGCACAGCAGTAGAGAAACCAGCCAGAAATCCCTAACGCCTCCAGCACTCACCTTACAGTGAGGATAAATAAAGAGTCAAACAACATAAATCCCTGGTGCTTTGCAAGGAGATAACTGATATGCAGACAATTAGAGTAGGGAAGAGAGATAGGGACAGCTTGGGGTGGGTGAGGTGGAGATTTAAATCAGATGATCAGAGGAAGCTTCACTGAGAAGAAGACATTTGAGCAAGGGTTAGAAGGAGGTGTAAACCAAAAATAAAATCCTAAGCCCCCCACCAACCAACTGAATGGATTCCTATTTGGCCACGGGCACCCCGGAGAAACCAGAAAAACTGAATTCCCAGCCATGACCAAAAGGAGGTTACACCCTCATCATACCCCTCCCTTTTGGGGTTTAGGCACAAGTGACCAGCATTAAGGTAAAGTAGAGATTATAAGACTGACAAAACAGACGCTTTGTGGCAATAAGATACCAAACTATACACAATACCTAAGGCCATGAAAGGCAAAGATTAAGTCATACCCTACAAACAATACAGTCTCATTAAATGGGTTTTTAAATGAACCCCGTAAAATGTAGCTTACTTTCCAACCTGACTCTGGTATAGTATCACATGACAGCAGACTCTGAAGGAAATTAAAATACTTTACCCCAAAATACATTTCTTTAACATATTTGGAAAAGGCTGCCAGACGGCCCTTCCGACTGCAAAGCCATCTTTGGTGGAGAAAACAGGCATCTCCAGAGAATCGATATTAATGCCTCTTCCCTTGGTAGGCTTTTCCCAGATCTAGGAGAGATTAAGTGAGAGTCAGACACTTAAAGGTCTGAGAAGAGACAATCACTATCTATTCACCCCGAGGGCTGCTATCTATGAAGCTCCAACCCCCCAACCAAGGACCTTGGCCCCCACAACCTCCTTATCTTACTCAGGCATTCCTTCCTACTGACTTCAAGTCACTAGACAATAACTTAACTCTCTCAGCTACTGTTAGCTAAGGAATCCCTAAAACACACTTAAGACTTGTAAGGCCCCTCAGCCCTCTCCTAACCCTCAACCCCCCAAGTCCCTGTGGAGGGAAAACTCTCTCTAGCCATCTTTCCTCTGCTCTCACACCACAATCAACACAGAAGTCAACTTATGTGACCATATGTGTGGGGGGCCCCCCAACACCAAGCAGCGACACCAGCTCGGTGTCCACTAATTCAGTTCCGACACTATCTACCTGGAAATAGTGTCAGATCCCACAGACTGAGGGCTTAGTGTCCAAGGCATCTCCCCTCCACCAGTCACAAGTCCAGGCCTCCAGAACTTCTGACCAACCAGCTTCCATTGGGGTTGCCCTCTCTGTGGGTTCAATTAATTTGCTGGAGAGGCTCACAGAACTCAGGGGAGCACCTACTTACGTTTACTGGTTTATTATAAAGGATGCTGCAGAGGATACAGATGAAGAGATGTGTAGAGCAAGGTGTGGGAGAAAGGATGCAGAGCTTCCATGCCCTTCCTGGTTGTGCAACCCTCCAGGAACCTCCTCCTGTTAAGCTATCAGAAAGCTCACTGAACCCTGTCCTCTTGGGTTTTTATAGAAGCTTCTTGACGTCAGCATTCCTTCCCCCAGGGCAGGGCATAGGGTAGGAACCTCTCATGGGAAGGTCTTTTTTTGTTTTTTTGAGACAGAGTCTCACTCTGTTGCCCAAGTTTCAGTGCAGTGGCACCATCTCCATTCACTGCAACCACTGCTTCCTGGGTTCAAGCAATTCTTCCTGCCTCAGCCTCCCGAGTAGCTGGGATTACAGGCGTGCACCATCACACCCAGCTAATTTTTCTATTTTTAGTAGAGATGAGGTTTCACCGTGTTGGTCAGGCTGGTCTCGAACTCCTGACTTCAGGTGATCCACCCACGTCGGCCTCCCAAAGTGCTGGGATTACAGACGTGAGCCACCATGCCTGGCCTCATGGGAGGGTCCTAAGGCCCACAGTCAGGCCAAAAAACATTAGAATCCTGCCTTGGGGCAGGTGAAAGGATGGCAGGAGAGAGATTGTTTCTTAAGGCCTGCCCCTGAAGTCTAAAAAGCCCAACATTCTAGCAAGACTGTAGCAAGGGCTAAGGGGGTATGTGCCAGGAACCATGTATGAAAACCAATACATAGGCAGGGCACGGTGGCTCACGCCTGTAATCCCAGCACTCTGGGAGGCCTGAGGCCAACATGGTGAAACCCCATCTCCACTAAAAATACAAAAATTAGCCAGGTGTGGTGGTATGCACCTGTAATCCAGCTACTCAGGAGGCTGAGGCAGGAGAATCACTTGAACCTGGGAGGCGGAGGCTGGAGTAAGCAGAGATCACGCCATTGCACTCCAGCCTGGGTGACAGGGCGAGACTCCATCTCAAAAAAAAAAAAAACACAAAAAGAAACATATATCCTAACACCACACCCCCTCCCCCACTTTGAGATGTCTCACATTTTTTGGGCAGAACTAAGAGTTACCTTCCATGTATTGATTTCCATCTTTGTGTGTAATGCCTGTCTCCCTAAAATATATAAAACCACACTGAGGCCCGACTGCCTCAGGACCACTTACTCAAGCCTTCTTGGGTTTGTGGTTTTTCTCGGCTACAGTACCTCATATTGCCTCAGGATAAACTTCTTTAAAATATTTTACAGAATTTGGTTTTTTTTCTCTTCGCAGAGATGAGGGAGGCAACCATGCAGATTTCTGAGAAAAGAGGGTTGCAGGTAGAGGGAACAGCAAAATACCTATAGAGGGGCAGCCAGATGACGTGGCGCCTTACACATGTGTAGGGATTGGGGCTTTCATCTGATTAAGACGTTGCTGATATATGTTTGAAAGGCATCACCGGATGCTGCCCTCAGAATCAACTGTGATAAGCAGCAGGTCCCAAAGTCAAAAAGAAGACCTTTGCAACTATCCAGGTGAGAATGGCCCAGGGTCCCATGGCCTGAGCTCTTACTGGGTGCTAACATCTTATAGATGTTACCAAATTTAATCCTTACCACCACCCTGTGGGGTGGAGTATTAACAATCCTTTTGTAAATAAAGAAATTGAAACTCAGAGAGTTTAAGTCATTTGCTCAAAATGTCACTGTAAATGGTCAAACGAGGATGTGGCCAGATTATTCTTTTTTTTTTTTTTTTTTTTTTTTGGAGACAGAGTCTTGCTCTGTTGCCAGGCTGGAGTGCAGTAGCGTGATCTCGGCTCACTACAACCTCCACCACCTGGGTTCAAGCAATTCTCTGCCTCAGCCTTCCGAGTAGCTGGGATTACAGGTGCCCACCACCATGCCCAGCTAATTTTTGTATTTTTAGTAGAGACGGGGTTTCACAATCTTGGCCAGGCTGGTCTTGAATTCCTGACCTCGTGATCCACCTGCCTCAGCCTCTCAAAGTGCTGGGATTACAGGCATGAGCCACCACACCCGGCTGGCCAGATTATTCTGACAAACTGGTCATGCTCTTCATCCTATGTCCCTCTACTCAGGCCCTTCCAAGGGCTACTGCGAGCCTCTCTGCTTTATCACTTCAACTGCAGTTGCGAATCACTGTATTGACCTTCTGGTGACACCTATTTACTCTGCCCTGATCTTCATCTCCTTAATCTTCAGTGAGCAAACCTCACCCTCATCTGGACCTTAGAACCCAAACTTTCTGTTCTTAGACTTAGAGTGCTTGACACCCTGTTGCCCCCAGAGGGTACCTGCACTAGCCACAGTGCCTCCGAGAGGGACTCCATGTGTCCTGGCCACCAGAAACCCTCTCCCATGAAGGACTCCCATTTCTCTAAGAGTTGGATTCTTAATGTGTGCCACCTGAGCTGCCACTTAATGCTCTGACCCCTCTTTCTCTTTCCTCATATCAGGGATAGCTGGCTGCCCCACCAAACGTTTGCTCCTTCTGCCATATAGAGTTAGTGCTGTAAATTACTGCCCAGAGAGGGACTGCATTTTACACACACACAAACACACACAGCATATAGATGGGATCATTTTACTAGTTATTGATAAAGAAATGTGAGCAAAAATAACATATATCACTTCTGGGCCAAGATGGTTAAGACGTGAGTTTACTTGCTGTAGCAGCTAGCATTACCCTACAGAGCTACTCAGTAGAGACTTCCTGAATATTTATTTCTATGGTCTAAAACCATCATTAGCATATTCAGCTATAGATTTTTCATATCTCCTCATCCCAACATTTCACAATCCCAGTGAAATAACAGAAGCACACCCTAATTTAAGCAAAGCCAAGGGCTCCTAAATTCTTCCATCTCAAATCATATCCTCTTGTATTTTGTTTCCCCCGACATGATTCCAAGAATTTGAAAGATGTTGTCAACTAACTTTAATTTAAAATTTGAGTTCTTATTTGTTATCAAATGAACAAAGATACTGTTGCCAATCAGAGGTTCTGAACAGCATGAGATTGCCACGACTACCACAGTCAGTTGATAAAAGTTTAGCATAAAACAAAGAAACTTGATTTTCTTGGCTGTGCAGGTTTGCGGTGGTGAATATGCTTCTCCCATCCAGCTTTTCGAGAAACTCAGTGTCTGGTGGATCTCTGGAGACCTTGGACAAGGGACTCTGGTTTGTGGAGCTTACTCCAATACAATTATAACTTTGTGATTACAGCCATAGACACAATTCTTGCTTGGCATACCCCCTGTGATGGCTAATGAGTGTCAACTTCATTGGATTGAAGGATGCAAAGTATTGATCCTGGGTGTGTCTGTGAGGGTGTTGCCAAAGGAGATTAACATTTGAGTCAGTGGGCTGGGAAAGGCAGATCTACGTTAATCTGGGTGGGCACCATCTAATCTGCTGCCAGCTTGGCCAGAATAAAAAGCAGACAGAAGAACGTGAAAAGACTAGACTTGCTTAGCCTCCCAGCCTACATCTTTCTCCCGTCCTGGATGCTTCCCGCCCTCAAATATCAGACTCCAAGTTCTTCAGCTGTAGGACTCAGACTGGCTTCTCTGCTCCTCAGCCTGCAGACGGACTGTGTGGGACCACACCTAGTGATCGCATGAGTCAATACTCCTTAATAAACTCCCCTTTATCAATACATCTATCCTATTAGTTTTGTCCCTCAAGAGAACCCTGGCTAATTCACCTCCCCAAAAATCAGGTTCTACTGGTTGGCTAGACACAAAAGACTGCTTAGAAAAACTATCCCAACAGCCCCCAACTAGGCAAAATTAAGGCATACTATGTTTCTCCAGAAGAATCTGGTTTCACATGTTTAGAAATCAGCAGAAAAACAATGTAAAACTACAATTTTCCTGGACTACCAGATCAAACAGATACCAGCCTGCCTCTCCATCTCAGCACTCACCAGGCAAAGGCAGAGCAGCAGTTACGTCAGAAACCTGCCTCCCCCAGGACACAGCAGCAGAGCTGTCAAAGATGAGTAAGGAATCAGGCTGCCCGGAATTCTCACATGCTAAATTGCAAAGGAGAACCAAATGGCAACAAACCAGGAAAAATTTCTACTGAAATACCAAAGATAAGGATTTTCTCTGAAATCCTACTAACGTGGATGTGATGACCTTTTCAAACTCCACTTTAAATGTCTCTTTAGTGAGGACAATGTCTAATAATGTCTTCTTAATCATGTCCTCCCGGAATTCCAGGGCTGGGGATCGTGCCAGGCGGCCGTTCTTCCCATCCATGTCCATCGTAGTTTTTGTGTTATTAATCTGGGCAGGAGGAAGTCTGAGCCAGTGTTCCTTGATGTTTTCTAATTGCCAAAGTCACTGAAGTGCAACTACCTCTCCTTAAAGTCACCAAGGCAACAACTGTTTACCTCTCTCGTCTTAACAAACTGACGTCTTTACTAGAATCCGTCCAAGGCCAAATGGGCCCCCTACAAAGAGAAAGGGGAAGGGAACATAGAAGAGAAAAAGGTTGTTCAAGTCTGTCCTGAGAGTTTCAAGGCCCTTGGTGTAACCCTCCCCTGCCCTCCCACCCCTAATCTCATAGCCATGAAGGTGAGTGGTATAGGTGAAGGGAACCACTTAGAACATTGTAGTTCTATCTTGCCTGGGCATCAATATCACCTAGGAAACATTTTAAAAATATAGATGCCTGATATTATCCTCAGTAGCTTCTGATTTAATGGACCTGGACCAATAAACATCAAAATAGGAAGAATGTAAAAGTTCACAGAGGGTGACCTTGGGCAGAATGGGAGAGAGGCCAGGCCTTTCCTGGGAAGGGACGGGGAACACCAGTTCAGCCTAGGGTAGACATAGTTAATGAGTCAACGCATGGCTCAAGCATTTAAAGTCCCCAGTTAACCCAGACTCCTCCACAACCTAGGAAGTCTGCTGCCCAATAACAGCCCAGAGTTACTGAGGAAGTGGCAGGGCCACAGCTTCAATCCAGGGCCCCAGGAATTTCAGGCTACACTGTCATCAACTCTGTTCTCCTGGACTCAAAGGGGACCGCCTCCTCTGAAGAATTCACATTGATTAGCAGGCCAAGGTGAGTTAGTACTGCTGGAGAAAGAGCTAATCGCCCTTGCATCAAGGTGTGCCTTTCAATTCTCTCTCCTCCCCACGTGGTGATCTTGTCTTGTCTTTGGTCACTAAATGAAGAGGCAGCAACATGGCTGCAGATCAATCTCTTGGGCAAAGGGGCTGCCA